GCTCACGCCAGCTGCCAGCCACTCACAGTAGCTTATGGCAGCCCACTGCAGCTTTACTGCAGTCTACACCATCGCTGGCGACTCATGGCAGCCCAGCTCCAGGTCGAGCTGTTGTTCACCATCTTAGCTGTAGAGGGCGCAGCATCACTGGCCCTAACGTGGGATCCGAACCGGGGCCCTGCTGCTCAGAGCTGGTGTCCCAAGCCAATTCCTAACCAGCACACCACTCGGCTGGCCCAAGCGCGCACTCTTAACAAGGTTGCCAGTTCAACTTCTGCACTGGATGGTGGGATGCACCCCCCACACACAACTAGGATTCAACACGACAACTTGAGCTGAGCAGCCACAAGCTGCCGACGGGCTGCCTGATGGCGACTGGACTTGGAACTGAGCTAGCTGCACCCTCCACAACTAAGACTGAAGGACAACAACTTGGCTGTTCCCCTTCCCAAATTCCCCAACACTGTTTCCCTTCCCCAATTCACCAATAAAATCTTTTAAAAAAGAAAGAGAGAGGGTGGGAGGAAGGGAGGGGGGAGAGAGAGAGAGAGAGAGGGAGAATGAAAGAAGGAAAGAAAAAGAAACTAAGCTTGGATCGCTGAAGTCAAAGGAGTGAGATGTAGACCATAGCTGTGGGAATGCAGAAGGGACTGGAGTCCAGTAAAGTAAATTGGACACAGAGGTCTGATTTTTTACTTTCTAGGTGAGAGAGAAGTATCACAGAATCTAAGAACCCCATATTGAGCTTTTTGCATTGGGTTTAGGGATTCTATCTTCTCGCCTCTCCTTGAAAGAACTACATTGTTTCATATACTCTACTGTTCATTATCTCTTGAACTGTTACAGTTCTTCCTAATGCCCCCTTTCACTGTCTGCCTCTAGGTTTTCATCCTTTTAGAGCAGCGGTTCTCAACCTTCCTAATACCGCGACCCCTTAATACAGTTCCTCATGTTGTGGTGACCCCCAACCATAAAATTATTTTCATTGCTACTCTATAACTGTAATTTTGCTACTGCTATGAATCGTAATGTAAATATCTTTGTTTTCCGATGGTCTTAGGCGACCCCTGTGAAAGGGTCATTTGACCCCTAAAGGGGTTGTGACCCACAGGTTGAGAACCGCTGTTTTAGAGCCAATGGCTAGGGAAAACACATACATGAATAGCTCATCCCCAGCATCCTTAGACAGGATAGTGACCTTGGTCACTATCCTGTATATGCTTTCATTGCCCTTCCAGATCCACTCCATATTTTTGTCCTGTCTGTGCTGTACATGGTTAACTTCTATGGGTAACATCACATAGTCTCCCTTGCCTTTTGCCTTCCCATTAAAATAGGCCAGTGGGAGGCACTAGCAGATCTTTGTTAGTGGCTGCGTTCCTCTACCTAAGGCCATGGCTTCTGTTGAAGCTAAAGCCCTCTCCCTTGGCTACAACTCTCACCAGGTTCTAATAACTGCCCCTTTAGGTTTAAGACTGGTCAAGTCTTCCTACTGTTGTAAGTCCCTGGATGCTTCACTATTCTTGTTGATTTATTAACCCCAGCCACACCTTTGTAAATAATCTCTTCATTAAACCATGTCCAGTTAGCCCTTTGAGTGTGTCATCTGTTTCCAGTTGGAACCATGACTAATTCAATCATTTTCTTTTTTTTCTAAATCTTGCCTATATTTCCTACTTTGTAATTTCTTTTGAATCTGCTTCTAATTCTTTTCATGCTCAGCATCCTTAGTCCAGACTTTTAAAAACTCAATTTAATGTGTATTGAATACCTATACTATTCTAGGATCTGTGATAATTACCTTTCCCCCAATCTTTTGCAAGTCTCTTTAGTGGTTTAGTATCTCCTGTCTCTAAATTCTACTGCCAGGTTGATATTTAGAAACACTAATTAGATTCTGTCCTTCCTCAGACATCTTCAGTAGCTCCCAACTGCCTATAAAAAAATAATAAAGTGGGCCGGCTGAGTGGCTCAGTTGGTTAAGAGCTCGCTCAAGGGTTTGAGCTCTGAGCAACAGCGATTCTAGTCCGCCTGAGCTGAGCTGCCGCTGAGCTGCCAACAGGTGGCAGGATGGCTCAACCAAAAATAAAAATAAAAATAATAAAATAAAGTAATAATAAACTTTTTAGCCTGACATTTAATCTCGCCATTGCCCTACCTTGTCAACTTATTCACCTATAAAACCCTCAATACTAGGTTTATTAACCATCCCTTAAATATGCCTGTGCTTTCTTCATACAATACTTTTGCTCATGCTGTACCACCTGCAAAGAATTGTATTTCTCTTCACTTATTTAAATACTATTTGTTCTTTAAAGCTGAGCTTAGATCTCAACTCCTCTGTAAACTCTTTCCAGATCTTAATGAGTAGAAATGATCTCTCCCTCCCTGAAACAGTGTTTATTGTCTATTCTGCTTTTTAACAGTTAACTATGCCTTATGAAATACGTATGTTATCTAAATCTTTTATTGTCATTTAACAATTACACCAACTCCATTGCATACTAGCTGTGTGAACTAGGCAAGTTCCTTTCTCCCTCTTTTCTTCCCTTTCTTTTGCCAGGTACTGTGCTAGTGCCAAGCTAGGTCACCTTGGTCCTTTTAAAACTGAGTTTGAAAGGTATTTGCTAAAGGATGCTAAAGTTAATGTGGGGCAGTGTGGGAAAGGAGCAGAAGGAATGGATAATAACAATGATGGGAAGGCTAGTCACATGATCAGAAGTTCTTCCAACATAGCCTAAGTCAGCCTCCTTTCCCGTAGGTAGGCTTGTGAGTTCAGGCCTTGGTTTGGATTTCTAAAAGAAGCTAGAGTGAAGAACAGAGATTCGTCCATTTTATTTAGTAGCTTGTTCTGAATTGACAAAAAATAAACAAAAAAAATTCACACATCTTTTTCCTAGGTACATTTGACCTGGTTTAGTTGTTAATGCAATGAATGGGAAACTATCCCTAAATACTTCTGCCTCAGTAGAGTTGGCCATTACTGAACATGGAGGCCCTTGTTAACTTCACAGCAAAGGTGGTGTGGTATTTTACAAATAAACTAGGTTAATTAACAGGGGTAAAGGACCAGGGTAGCAGCCCTGGGGAGGGGGCAGTGTCCCTGGCTTGTAGCAATAGTAGAACTGGCTTCCTTTTTCTGCTAAGGCTTCATAGGGAAATCCTAGGATGGTCTTATTAGCTGACAGACGTTGGGGGAATGGTGAAACAAGAGTAGGAATTTCAGGAGCCTCTCCTATATCGGCACCATCCCCTAGAGCAGCTGGTAGCCCCACTCATTTTCATACGGAAGCATCAAAGCCAAAGCCCACTGCCCCATGCCCAAATGCCAGGATGGGGATTCCCCTAGCATAGGCAGCGTTCTCTTTGGGCTGCTTGCAGCCACACAGAGGGCTGCGCCTCTGCTTTGGGATTATCTTGGGCGCAACAGTTCTTTCATCCTGGCCTTTGAATTCTAGGGTTGAAGCTCCCCTTTAGTGCCTCCACACAACAAAGTGTTCAGCTTCTCAGTTGAATAGCCATTGCCTCCAGGGGCTGGAGCTGCAGGTGCCCCTACCCCTGTGGAAGAAGGGAAATACAGTGTACTTCAAGAGAGAGAAATAGAAGGGTGCTTTTATTTAAAAATGTTAAAAAGTACTACAGTGACAAGACATTTCTGGGGATGGGAGAACACAGCATAAGTAGGGAATCTCCTAGATTTCCATGGATGGAGTGTCTCCATTTTCCTCCTGTCTCCCATCTTCCTGGTCCTATCAGCAGCACAGGGTTTATCAGAAGTCTCAATGGATGCCTCTATTTCTGAAGAGAAGCTTCCACCACTCACTTTCCCATCATCAAACCTGAAAGCCTTCATCAGGTATCTCACTTCCATATTGAAACAAGGATTACTGGTTGTAAGTTTGGAAATCTGGGGAATCCTACCCAAAACCACTGCAAGCTATCTGCCCCAAGCTGAGATCTCTGAACATTTCCTTTCTGTACATTCAGTATATTTGGTCCTATATACGTCTATATACATCTCTCTATATATAGATAGATGGTAGATAGATAGATAGATGGATCTATGTATCTATAGATATAGATATATATAGATATACAATAGATATATATTATCTGTTTCTTCTTAGATAAACCTTTCATATATATCATATCCTAATTCCTCAAGCTTCCACCTACCTCTTGTTTGCTAGCTCAAGTAAGACTCAAGCGTGTCATCGATTTCACTAGATTCCTCAGTAGCACCCTTTCTCATCTTTTGTTTTGCCCTCATCAGTTGTTTTGCCTATCCTCCGAAATCTCCCCCCCTAAACATTTGTTCTCCTAATGCTCTCCTGACATGCCAAGTCCATGGTTGGTGTGGTCAGGGACCCTGTTTTTTTACCAGACCTGGCTACTTCTAAAGCCTGTCTGTTAGCCTGAAAGAGGATTTCGGTGTAGAGAAGATGGGGTCTGTAGTCTAAAGAGCCATTTAGGGTTGACAGTGAGGGGCAGGCCTTATGGGAGAATAAGCCAGGTTGAAGTAAAAGGACAGTATGATTTAAAGTACAATTCAGAGTAAAGCCTGGGATCATGGAGGAGAATCAAAAAGGGTAAGTCAGAAAATTGTGTTATCCAAGAATGTGAGGAGAATAGACATCAGAGGTGGGAAGACAGTAATTCCCTCAGAAGGGAAGCAGCTGTGTGCAGAAGAAACTAGAAGGAGGGTATTGCTAATGGATAAATGATACACACAAACATTGCAGTACTTTTTACCTTTACACATTGAAAGACATTGGCTAAGTTTAATGTTGAATAAAGTTGAGGACCCAGAAGCTGGCTCTTTGCCTTCTGTTCTATGTTTCATATTTTCGCGTTTTTCTGGTTCTTGCTTTCTTAAGAGCTAGAAAGTAATGGTGGGGTTTACAGTAAGTGGAGAACAGAGGGTCTTCATTTTCAAGGTATAATTAGAGTTCAAGGAGAGATCAATATAAGAGAGTAAGTGGTAACCATGGTTCCAGCCTTAAAATTTTGTGAGTTTCTCTGCAAGGCTCTGCACACAGATGCATGTACACATTCTATATAAGTGTGTGGCTTTTAACAATTGGCTGAGTCCACCTTAAATAAACTGCCACTTGATTCATACAGAAATTGTCTGCCGAACCACTTTGGGGTGTGGTGGGGGGAAGTCCCTTGGTATCTAAATGAGACCAGGAAGCACTCTTGGGATTTGGGGCCTTAGAGAAGGTTCTGGTGCCCATACACCCTTCCTGACCCCTACCACAGTCCCCACCCGGGAACAAGGAATGGCCTGAGTCTGATCTCTTAAAGTATGTCTTTTAACTTGCCGGAAATTGGCCTCCTGGCAAAGGAGAGTAGAGATGAAACTGATATTCATTTTATACCAAGTCTCAGGGATGGTTGAGGGAGACCATGGTTAATTAATCAGTAGGTGTGATTTCCTTCCCTCCCAACATGGCCTAATGAAATAGCTGGCACTTTTCAGAGGTCACTGGGAGGGGTAACAGGGAGAATAGTGCCTGCCAGCCACAGAGTTCTGCCTCTGCCCAAACCTTAACAAAGCATCACCAATTCCCAGAGGCTCTGTACAGCAGTCCAGAAATCTGACAATTTACTCATCCCAGTTGGTGGGGTCGGTGTAACTTTCTTGGGAACTTTGTGCCCTGTGAGTCCAGTTTTAGTGGAACAGTGTTGACAAAGGGAGGCCCTTGCATTCTCCCTCCCTTCCTCTGAACTTTTGGGGTTAAGGGAAGAGTGCGCTGGGCAGGAAAGAAGAAAAGCCAGGGGCAGTGTCATCTGGAACACCATTTCCAGACCTTTCCATGGGGTCTAGGCGCTGGGCTTTTTCCAGGGGAGGGTCATCCCGTTCAGCGGGCACAGGGAAACCAATCCTCCCAGGGAAGCTTGGAGGACAGGTTCACGGGTTTGGACAACAGCTCTGCATTGGTCACTCCACACTGAAGAGTTCAGAATCCAGGATGGGTGCAGGTGTGGTGGTTGTGACTATAGGTTTTCTATTTCCTGGGTCAACCCAATTCTCTGAGAGCAGAGTCATCTATGAGAGAACTGGGTATCCTAAAGAAGGGTCCACTTTAAAAACTAGAAAGAGGAAAATAGTGGTGACCAAGGACCTAGGTTATAGTCAGGAGTTGCTAACAGAAATTCACCATGAAAAATCCTAACTTCTTTGAATAGAGGTTGGTAGAGACCCCAAGGATAAATTGATTCAGAATTCCTATATTTCTGAGGGCACAGACCCCAAAGGGACCATCATAGAATCTCTCCTTAGGGAACTTGCCAGGTGGAAAGTTAGAGAGGGAGGCGGCTCCAGCCTCAAGTTACCAAACTTTCTCGTGGGGAGGGGGGTAGTCTGTTCATCCAACTGCATGGTCTTCCTAATGTGAGTCTCCAAGCGTGGCTGAGGCCGCTAAGCCGCTTCAGCCTAATTGTCCCTCTCCCTATCCTGGCTTAAGGGAGGTATGTAAAATGCAGTAGAAGTGGGGTGAGGCGAAAGGGGAGAATGGGAGGAAAACTTGGACTCCAGTTGGCCCTGACTACGCACAGACCACTGGCTTAACGGCGAGGGAGTAGGGAATGGGTGCTTCTGGAACTCTCCAGCAAGCCTGAGTAATATCCTCACCCAGGGTGCCAAAAAAGGAAATGAAACCAGAGGGCTAAGGAGGTGGGAAGCCAAGCTATCAGACATTGCTGATGCGCACACTGAGGGCACTGCCCTCCTTCTCAGCTTGTTCCCTTAATGACTCCTCCAGCTTGAGCTTTTCGGGGTCACCATAACGTAGAGTGCTGTCACGAAGGCCACTAGGGGGGGCCACTTTCACAACTTGGTCAAAAAGGCTGAAGTCAGCTATGTATTTGCCACTGGCTGACAGCGAGATGGCAGGTGTGAACTCATAGCCCCAAAGGATCTCCTCTGGCAGGTAAGAAGTGCGCACTTGGCAGGTGGCACTGGTAGATTCCACTGTCCCACTTAGGATCAGCACCAGCTCAAAGTCACCCTCACCACTGCGAAGGGGAAGGTCTTTCAAGGGACTGGTCTCATCTACCACGTGGTAGAAGGTAAGGGGTAGAATGAGGAAGGGGCTGTCAGAGGCCGTGTCTACTTGGAAAGTCACATTGACCTGGTTGAGCCGAATGTTCTCGCCCTCCTTGGTCTGGTGGGTCTGAAGCAGTTTGCCTGTCACCTGGCAGCCAATGAGGAGGCTCTTACGCATATTGGCGACTCGGATCATAAGGCAGGGCTTCCCATTGTGGGCAGCTACAACTGCATGCTGGCTAAAACGAATAGTCTCAGCCCGCTTCTTGGGCCGAGCGATCTTTGCCAGGAAGGTACCTGTGATGAAGATTTCCAGGATGGTGGTGAGCACCAGCTGGGCAATCAGAAGCACAATGGCCAGTGGGCACTCCTCACTGATGTAACGGAAGCCATAGCCAATGGTGGTCTGGGATTCAAGGGAGAAGAGGAAGGCCCCAGTGAGAGTGTGCACCTGTACCACACAGGGAGTATGGTTGGCTGGGGGGCCCAGCTCCAGCAGGTCCCCGTGGGCTACAGCTACCAGATACCACACCACACCAAAGAGGAACCAGGTGCCTGCAAAAGTCGCAGAGAAGAGCAGAAGCTTGTAGCGCCACTGCATGTCGATGAAGGTTGTCCACAGGTCCTTGAGGTAGAGGAAGCGCTTGTCAGCAATGTGCTCCATTTTCACATTGCTGCGACCATCTTTTGTCAGGACTCTCCGCCGTCGTATCCCTGGGCCCATTAGGGGCCGGCTTTCTGTCTGAGTGGTTTGACTGTAATATACCTTGGCAACTGATGTCATCTGGAGGGAGCAAGACAGTATAATGGAGGTTATTGCAGAAATCCAGCCAATTCCCAGCCACCACCCCATGGGAGGGAAGAAGTATCATTCATTTTTTTGTACCACCGATTTGTTCTTTTATTAGCAAATATTTCTTGAGTATTTGTGATATGCCAGGCACTGTGCAAGATGCTGGCAAATCAAAGATGAAAATATCATCCTTGCTCTCCAAGAACGCACAGCCTAGTGAGAAAGACGTGTTCAATGAGCAAATAATTGCAATACCGTCTATCATTTGTAATTCTTAAAAGAGGCAGAGAAGAAAGAGTAATAAGTTCACAGTTTGTTGAATGTAGGGCCAGAGTAAAGAGGGCTCTACTGGTCTCCATTTACCACAAAACCAAGTCTATGAAGATCTCTTATTCTAAAATAGGACCCCTCCTCACCCTCATGAATGGCATCAGCAAGAAAGACTTCCTGTTGAGATCCTTCCAGGTCAACCCTGCTTAACACACAAATACCCTTAATTTCTCCATTCTTTTTCCTAGCCCCAAGTCTATCTATACTCACTGATGATACTAAGATATTCATCTAGCTCAGAAAATACCAGAAACTGCCCATTATTCTACCCTGCAAGGTATTCTCTAAGCACCCAGCCCATACCACTATGTATTAGTACCATCATCATCATCATCATCATCTATTTGCATTATCTGGGGAACTTCGGTCTGGGTTAGGGTCTGGGGTGGTTTTAGGAAGAGCACAGACAGGACAAAAAGAGCAAGAAGAAATAAGCAGTGGTGGTGGTGGAGAAGCAACATGCTGAAGCTCCCTGGCAGCACTGCAGTATTTTCCCAAGGACTGGGAGGAACGCCAGGTTGGAGGTGGCAAAACTGTCTTGACTGAGTGAATTAGGAGGGTTAGGAGTGTAAGTTAGTGGCTATGTCTGCACAAGCTTAAATTCAGGATTGCTATTTGTCCTGATAGTAGAAAGTGGGACAAGGCTCTGAAATAAGAGACAGCTCACTTAATACAAGGTGCCTGGCACCCCTGCCCAAGGAGTAACTTGTACTTTTCCAACAGAGAAAGAATTTTAATCACTTGAGCCCTTTGACTCTGGATCTGAGGCCAGATCTTCTGGGAAGGCAGGGTGATCTCTGGGGAGTTTGGTCCTTGGAGAACAGAGAGGCTCATCACATTCTCCCTTCTGAGAAATCTGAGCCATTGCATTTTATCATTTTTCTTCACACTGCCTCCTACTCTATCTTCTCCATGGCCTTACACCTGGAAAACTCTAAATAATTTGGGTCCATTCATATACCCACCCAAGTAGGCACTACGTTGGAGAGCAACAATGGATGAGAATCCAGAACACTCAGAGTTAACCAGGAGCCCATTTTACCAGCCCCCCACCTACTTGGAACTTTTGCCCAAGTGAGACTACTCAGACAGACCTGGATACCATCCACTTCCCAATATCCTTAGCTATTTTGGAGCAAAAAGGAAGTTTGTAATTATGAAGTTTAAGAATTCTTTTTTATTTTATTGGGGGAGGGGAACAGACAAGTCGCTTTCCTTTTGTTCTTCAGTCTAGTTGTGGAGGACGTCACTTCACTGGCCCATGTTGGTATTGTGCTCTTCCCGGGTGAGGCAGTCGTTCACTGGCCATTGGACGGCCACTCACGGTGGATCACGGTAGCTCATGAAATCACACGCCAGCTGCCAGCCAGCCCCACTGCAGCCTACGCCATTGCCGGTGACTCATGGCAGCCCAGCTCCAGGTCGAGCTGTTGTTCACCATCTTAGCTGTAGAGGGCACAGCGTCACTGGTCCACATGTGGGATCCAAATCGGGGCCCTGCTGCTCAGAGCTGGCGTCCCAAGCCAACTTTTAACCAACATGCCACTTGGCCAGCCCCAAGAATTCTTATTTAGATCCCAAGTATAGCCCATTCAGTTTTCAGTAGTAATAGTAATAAGAAACAGCCACTATAATGCCTGCATTTATATACGATTTCAAAGTTTACACATTAGCATGCCTTCTTATTTGATCCTCAAACTCTTGAAAAGATGTAAAACCCCTACAAGAGATTTTGAGGAACTGTTAGAGAACAGAGGAAATGCTGGAAAGTTGTGAATGAGTGAACATAATTTTCAATAAGGAAAATGAGGTACGTTTCACAAACTACAGACAAACAAGTGAGATATTGATCCTAGGCAAGATTCTAGAATGGAACATTAAGACTGTAAGTATGTGGGCAGAGTGGGGTGAAGGCAGTTATCAGTAGGACCCAGCATGGGGTTAATAAGAACAAGTCATATCAGGGGTGACCAGTTAGCTCAATTGGCTAGAACATTGTGCTGATAACACCAAGGATTCCGGTTCAATCCCCACATGGGCCACTGCATGGGCCACTGTGAGCTGCGCCCTCCATAAAAGAGTCAACTATGCCATTGTAGCATGAAAGCAATGTGTAACCAATGACCAATTTTAATAAAATTAAAAGAAAAAAAAAAGAACAAGTCACATCAAATTAACCTAATTTACTTCTATGTCAAGGTTACCAAATTGACAAATCAGAGAAATGCAATAGATATAGCATATCTAAGCAAGAGTTTTGACAAGACTTCTCAAGTCCTTGGGGATATGTCAAAGAAAAATGAACAGAATGCTACTCTAATTAAAAATTTAAAAAACAATGGTACTGGTGAGTGGGTTGTGATAGCCTGGAATCACTTTTCTAGTGATGTACCAGAGCCTTGCCCTGTTTGATGTTCTTAACACTAATTTTATTCAAAATTATAGAACAGATGGCCATCAGTTATGTGAATGACACAAATGAGATGAATCACAAATGCAAGGTTGGGGACAGTATTAGGATCCAAAAGAAGGCAGATGAGTGGGCCAAATCTGACAAAAAGGATAAACGCTGAGTTACGTATTTGGGTCCAAAAATTACCTGAGCAAGTTCTGGATTGGAAAGATGTGATTTAGTAAGCAGAACTATGAAAATAAATTTTAGCAGAAAATAATCATGTATCACTTACCTATGTGTTTTGATTGCCAAAAAAGCAACGCAATCTTAGGCTACTTTAGTTGAATTAAAGTAGGATAAGGAAGTAGATGATTCTACTCTGCTCTGTTCATCCCACACCTGCAGTATTGAGTATCAAGGAAAAATCAGGATATGAAAGGGTTTACAACCAGATCATATAAGAAATTGTTTAAGGAAATGGAGTTTAGTTGGGAAAAGAGATGATCTGAGGGATATGATGCCTGTGTGCAAATATTTGGTTTGAAGGCCTGTCAAGTGAACGGGTTTGAATTTTTCTTTGTGCTCTCAGAAGAACAACCAGGACTAATGAATTCAAACAACAGAGGAAAAGATTCCAGATTGATATGACAAAGAACAGTATAACAACTGGGACATCCAAATGTGGAAAGAACTTCTCAAAAGGTAGCGAGTACCCAGTCTCTGGAGGTATTCAAATACAGGTTGGACAAGCGCTTTGCAGAGATTCTTTAGAGGAGCGTAAAGCTTTGGTTGGTGGATTGGAAGATTGTTTTTAAGCTTCCACCTACACTCATGGGAATCAAGATGCCTGCCTCCTCCTCCCAATCCCTTCCCCTGCATTTCCTATGGTGACATTCGGGGATCCTTCACCAAAGTCCTAACTTTGTGCTGAAGAGAGATTCTGCATATCTGGGAAAATGGAAGCTCAAGGAGAGCCTCATCATTCCCAGAACAATAGTCTCTGATTATAGATCACTTTATAGTTTATAAAACATGTCATTTGACCCACACACCATGAGATAAGTAGGAAAGACATCATTAGAAAGTGAGGCTCAGACAGATTTGCCCCAAGTAGATTAGTGATAGAGGTGGTCTTCTGGCTCCTGGTCCGGAACCTCGTAGCAACTGCTTCTGTGTTCCATGTAGCACTGGAGATTTTGGCTGCTGGCTAAAACTCTGTTATGATTACAGCCTCCAGCTGTGTGCCTGTTGTTGCCAGTCTTTAGATCTGCCTCCTCCAGCTGTTATCTGCTGTTCTCAGCTGTTGTGCCACCACCCAAAGCCAAGCAACTTCGTACTCTGTGGTGGTGAGCCAGAAGTGGATAAACAATCAGATACACTTCACCCGCAGCTGGCCAGGCCCCTGGGAAGGGAGCAGGCCAAGGTTCTGGAAATGGTAGTTGCTGCCCCACCTGGAACACATACTCTTTCCTCTAGAGGGTGCTGTTTCCCCAAAACAGACCCAGCCAGATGCCAGGATCAGGGTCTAAAGAATTCTGAAGACTAGCCTCTGAGGGGTGAAAACAGGCAGAAACAGAGACAATCACCTTTTTTCTCCTCCAAAAATTGAACTAATGATTCTTTCCCCGAAACAAAGGCAAGTCGTACCTACAGTGATGTCCCGCATGTTCCCTCAGCAAATACCATTCCCACCTACTGCTTCATGCCTGTCCATCAACCAACCCAGAGCTTGCTTTCTTTACCGGAGAGCTCATGAATCATTTCTTCTCCAGAATGAATGGATTTATCAAAGCCTTTCTTGAGTACAGGACTTCTCTGGAGTATGAACACTGCTCTGGTGCCTCTCGTGATTAAAATTGACCCATGGCTTCCTGTTGCTTTTAGGATAAGCTGCGAACCTCTGAGCACAGCATTCAAGACCCTTCTTGATTTAGTCTCTGCCTACTTCTTGACTTTCATCTTACCACTCTTCCACATGGGCCCTGGACTCCAGCCCTGTGAAAAGCCTCACCGTTTCATCCTTTCTACCTTTGGACATGCATTCACATTGCCCCACTCCATGCCTATCTGATGACTTCCTACTTCTTTTTCAAAATTCAAGTGTTAGTTGCCCCTTTGAAGTTTTCCCTGACCATCAAAGAAATTGTTCATCTTCTCTATCTTCCCGTCCTTCCCCAACATGGGTTTTTTTAACAATGTTTTGGTCCTGGTAAACATTCTAATTTAAAACATCCTTTTGGTTTGCAGGTCTTTTTTAACCTTGTTT